ATGGTCTGAAGATCGCGGTTGCTGGGTTTAACTCACTTAACCCCCTGCGATAAAAGTAATTAAACTAAACTGAACAAACAATGCAGCTGCCTGTCCAAAATCACCATCAAATATTAATGAAATGTAGTATATGTCGACTTTAAGAAGGCATTGTATAGTGTTCTACACCAGTGCTACCTGCATAAACTCAGTCGAACAGGTATAAGGGAAAATCTCCTAGAGTGGATTCGAAAATTCCTATTTAGCCGCTCTAAAATTGTTCATATCGGTGACCAGCAGTCGGCGGAGCTGGCCGTAGAGAGTGATGTTCCCTAAGGCTCCATTTTTGTCTCTACACTGTTCATGATGTACTTCATCGACCGCGTCCGTGCACTGAATTGTGATGATACTATGTCTGCCAATGATATTAAACTTTGGAGCGTCATCGAAAATGTAGCTGCCGGAGAGCAGTTGCAGGCGAACCTAACTTGAATTCAACAATAAACGATGTAATATCCTACGAGTTGGCCGACCCAGTTCCCAGAATCTCATGGTATACTGCCTGAATGGTACTCCACTACCAGAAGCGGACGCGTGGAAGGACTTGGGAATGTGGATCAAGGCCTCGCTTAAGCTCTCGCCGCACTTCTGCGATGTCAGTTTCGTACCTTGTCAAACGGCCTTTCTCGGTGTTTGCTGAATACTGTTTCGCTTAAGTCCTTGGAACCTTTGTGCAGGCACAACTGGATTTTGCTATTAAAGCCTAGAGACCAGGATGTGCAAGACACCAAAATCCTTGAAAAACTTCAAAGGCGTGCAACTAAAATTTTGACCAGATAGGGCTCATTACCCTACAGAACATGCGTGTCTAATCTTGATCTATTTTCTTTGAGTTACGGACAATTACGAAGTGACCTACTACAAACACCCCGTATTATGCGCCCTCAGGACTGCTGCCTTCTACTTGATGATCTTTTTGCGTTAGTTGCAAATTAGAAATTGAGAGATCATCCCCTTAAACTACGTGTGACTGGAATCAGGCTGGACACAAGAAAGCTCCTCTTTTGCAGCAGTGATCGAAACTTTGAATGCTTTGCCTTGGATCTCATTACGTCCATTTATGTTTAAGTATTTAAGAAGAAGCTTGATGAGAATAGTAATGCCTACTAAAACAGTAGTCGAGCCTTGTAGTCTTAGCACCTGCGAAACGAAGTCTCATTCTCATAGTAGCACTTGCTATTTTTGAGTAACACTTATTGCCGAAATTATTTGCTGCGTCAGTTTCATAAGCTTTGCACCCAGACACTTACGAACATACCTATCTCGATCTTGTATCATTGTGCCCAAACCAACTGATGTATATCACACGAAAAAGGGCACGAAGTAGCAACATTCAGCAAAGCTATCAGTTGTGAGAGGGCTATCACTAGTTTTCTGCATTTGAAACATCTTTCATGAAATTTTGGGTGCTGAGTCGGTGAAAGTTCTCTTTGGCTCTGGTGGCGTGCGTGGGTCCAAGTCCTGTGTCAGGCATCATCCTGAGAGCAACGGCACTGATGCTGCAATCAGTCAATTCTTCAACTGACTTTGAGCAACCGTCCGCTGACCCAAAATTGTTTGGTACAGAATACCAGTTTTATAACGCCAAAGGGAGACTGACAACACCGTGCACTTTAGCCAAAACTTCATCGTCCCTCACTTTTATAATTTAATAAACTACATTCCTTCTTTTCTCCAAAAATGCCAGTTACTGGCAAACAGTAGTAGGAACTCGAAGAGTCTTTTTGTATACTGAGAAGAGCAGTTTACTCAGTGACAAAGATTCTTCATTTTCACAGATTTTTCTGTTTTTTGGAGAAAGTCGGTTCTGCTAAACAACGTAATACTCCCTTTAATATTTTCCTTCCATTCACTTAGAATTGTTCATTATTATTTCAAAACTTTGTTTCGTTCCGTGGTTCCGGGTTGGGAGTGATAGGCAATCTCCCGTAAATTTCAGCACTCTGAATGGGGTAAGTCACATACTGAAAGTCGCCACTGCACAAATGCCGGCCCATTGCTGAGCACACCGGACACGTACAGACAGAATCTGTTCGAATTAACGACCCCGACTCACATGTGGCAAATTTGTCAACCGAAGTGGTCGTGGTAGCACGGAAACGGGATCATATACTTTGCCAAGGATGCCTTAGAGGCAACTGCCACGTCAAGCTCCTGTTTTCAGCCACCCGGGACTCCAGGAAGATATCGTACAGACTCTTGCGTTTCCTAGGTAACCGACTTACGGCTCAGCCCGACTATTAGCTTGCAGTCGCCTACTGTTTAAATCTGCTTAGTTCGGAGGTAGCAATCACCAAAGAAGGTTCTATTGACCGTTGTCTGTGGACACACCAAGCAGACCAGAGGCAGCCCAACAGGCAGTAGTACGATGCCCACCGGAGGGAAGATGAAGATTATGTGATGGTGTATATGAGTTACAGGGCAACTCTACAACTACATAGTTTGGAAATTGACGGCTCCCTAATCACGGTATTTGTCCGCCTCGAGTCTTCTTATCGACCATTTCGGCGAGGCATAAATCTGCCGTGCCTAGCCGTGTGAACCAGCGAGAGTGAACATGAACAGGGCTTTAGATGTGTTCAGAGACATTCCAATACCACGCAGCGGCATGCGGATCAAACTGTACACGGAGCACCAACCTCCCCCTCTACAGGAAACACACCCCTTGCAGTTATCTTTAAGCAGGAAGATGCATAAACCGGTCGGTGGAGTACAAAAAGTGGGCCGAAAACGGACACTTGAAGATAGGGGAACCAGCGGGCGGGCAGGCGGATGGTACTTTCAAAAAGATGTAGTCAGTCAGTCAGAAAGAGAGTAGAATAAGAATGCTCGGGGATAAAAGCACATTAAAAAAAGGCGTAGAAGAAAGAAAATGAATTCAGAGAGGGTAGAAAAAGAAGACAATTAAGACTGGTTTTAAGGGGTGGGAGCGGAGGGGACTGCCATGATGGTAGGACGTAAAAAATGACGGCGGCTGCAACAGACTCGGCCTAAAACTACGGCCTGCGAAGGCCACCCCGACCCGGAATGACATCAGAATTGGCTTCGGTACCTGCGAAGGAGGCCGGAAGCTTCGCCGACAACTCCAGAGCTGTTCGACAGAGCGCCTGAACACGGTTATCTTCCGCCGGAGACAGCGTGGTGTCCATCAGAGAGGAAAGTTTGGTCACCAGCAGACCGACGATGTTGCCACCGTGACTTTGCACGGTTTCATCT